CGAGGGCAAGCTGGAGGCGAAGAAATCGGAAGCTTGGCATTCCGAGGTTGGGGGGCGAAGTCTAGACGTCGATGCGTGTGCGGAAGTGGTGGAAGAGGTCCAGCTCTGCAATATCATCCCGATCCTTCCGAGAACCTTTCCACAGCGCTCGTTAGTCCAGCAGGTGGTTCCCTGCACGCTGTACTTTCGAGGGAGCGCGGATAGCGAGGTCGCGAACGCTAGTGTAGAAGTTGGCCAGAAGCGTCTGAGGGAGGCCGGGGACGGGTGCTCCGACAGGGTATCAATCTTCGATGTCCTGCAGGCGGCGCAGCATGAGCACCACCACCAGACCCTTTTAACGGGGATGCGGAGCCTAGAGATGCCGTTTTTTCCTATCCCAGAGACTTTAGACACACCCCTTGTCGCGTCCAAGCTGAGGGATACTAACGACGAGGAAATTCCTGAAGGACAGCGCGGGGGCGATTCGGACTGGACCCCCTCCGAGGAGGTCTCGTCGGTATACCGTTTCCTCGAGTCCTCTTGTCGACATTATGAGAACAGACGCTTTAAACGAGTCCGGGTACGCCAACGGCTCTGGCGTTCGGTGATTAACGACACTTTCCGCGAAAACGAGGTGATCCATGCAAGGGACCCTATCAGTACCTCGGCGGGCGGTGCGTTGGTGGAGTGGGCATCGTCCGGATCCATTGGGTTCACACAGGATACCCAGGGGCTCTGGCAGGAGCAGCGCATACGCTTGGAGCGCACGTACTACCTTCCTATTACGCCGTACGGCAACGTTGCGCAGTCCTGTCGTACCCAAGACAGCGGAGGTGTCTCGAATTCGACGGCGCACGACGTTTTCCCCAAGGAAGGGGCCGACGGGGATGACCATGTGGTGTCGGGTAAGCTTGGCTCTATTCTTCGTAGCACTCGTACAGGCGATGATAATGTGGCTGAAACGGGGTTTGAGCTTCTGGAGGAGAGGTCGCCGGTGTCGAGCACTTGCGCTTCTCCATCCCCTGAGGACTCCTCGTCTCTCTTCCTCATGCCTACCACCACCATTCGAGTTCAAGACGCTGCTTTCGTCGGGGAGGGTCCCCAGCGTGCGAGGGCACCCCCGAAGGGTGCGGTGCGGCAGTTGGCGCCTTCATCACTACGTGGCGTTGCGGCTGCGCAGGTGTGGCGGCTCCAGCAGTTCCACATCGAATGTTTGGAGTACATCCACCGCCAGACTACGCAGGACTCCGAGGTGATATCCTGTCAAGCGAATCATACCCCGTTGCGTCCCTGCACTTGCTGCCTCTGCACAGACCTCCGCGCGAACTTCGCGCAGGTGGTTTTTTGCCCTCAGCTACTCCACCCTTATCTCATGCATCTCCATGTCGCGAGCAGCACGATGTTGCCGTTGGAGTCAATGTGGGTGGCCGGTGCGACCTCAACGTTGTCAAGCCGCACCACCACCGAGGTTGACCCCACCGCCACATTTCCTCACCTTTTAAACGTCATAAAGGGATCCACATCTTATTCTTCCACTTCTTCGACGTCCGAGTTGTCGAGCTGGCAGTGGTTCGACGACGCGGTACTCGATGAGGTGCTCCTCATCGCGGTCTCCCCGTGCTTCAGGCCCTACCAGCAGGTGCTCCTGCCCCCCAGTAGGGCTTACCTTTCTTTGATCCTCTGCGAGCTCGAGAAAAGCTTGACGGTGATGCTGCATGGCATAATTCCGTGCGGTGCTCAAGAAGCTCATTGCATGAAGGGCTCTAAGAAGGTTGACGCCAAGGAGGTTGCACCGTCGCCCGCTCTTTCATCTTTTCAGCTACTAAACTCCTGGGATCGACGTGTTTGGGATGAGTATCTAAAGTACTTTGTAGAGTCTGTTCGCCACGAGCTATCAGCGAAGGATGGGGCTGAGGTGCTGCGGGGGTTGGTGGGGCGTGGCGTCTTACCTCCCACCGCCACTGCCTCTTGCCCCATTCATCCAGAAGCCACCACCCAAGACAAGGAGGCTTTTCAAGGGCCCCCACGACGCGATAGCGGAAAGGATCCTATACCGGAGGACGGCGATGAGGCCAAGGAGCTGGATCAGCACCTTCTTGCTGTGCAGGTCGCCGCCGCTGCGCACGTGCACGGGGCCTGCCGAAAGGTCGAGCGGCATCTTTTGCAGCTCATCCTCGACACACTACGGCCGACTCTCCACCGGAGGATTTTCACCATGTATGAGCTACTTCGCCTTCTGTCGGTGAAGGGTCTTTACATCGAGCACTCCGCCGCGATCGCGCGCTACCGTGCGTGGTATCAGGGGACGCCCTCGGCAGGGACCGTACTGCGGTTGTTAGCGCATAACTCACGCCTCGGGGGGGCGCTGCGGGAGGCTTTCCCGGAGTACTTCGTTGGCCCCGCGGTGGACTCCCCGACCGAGCTCGCGAACGCAGGCCTGAAGGCGGACAGCAATGGCGACAGCCCCCTTCTCGACGAGGCGGAGAACCCGGACGGGAACGGGTCTTCCATGAGCGCGCGCTCCGACAGCGCGGCGGTGGTGTCGGAGCCGCGTGGCCTCCCTCTCGCCCCCTCTCGTCGTCCGCACCGGCAGCGGTGGCTGCGAATGGGGACGGTGCGGCCTCGGCCCTGGGGCTTCGTGCCGGAGAGGGCGCTGCTGCATCCGGAGTACCTCACACGGTTCACAGGGTGGGTGCAGAAGACCTACCACGGTGGCCTCTCCGCGGTACCGCCGCAGTTCACCTCAGCCGCGCAGGAGAAGAACCACGCGCACACCGCCGGCACGTCATTTCAGACATCTGACGACCCCAACGGCGGTGGTGATCAGCAGTCTCAGACAGGCAGTCTGCCCACATCGCCAGTTTGGCAGGACGACGCGGCGCTACGCATGTTGTTGAAGTCCATGTGCAATAAGGGCCGCACTATGACCTCTGAGGAGATCGATCACTACATCATCAGTTCCACTCACCCATTTTAGAAAAGAGGGAGGAGTGTACATTTTTTTGTAGAATGAACTTGCACAATGAAGGAGGCTTTTACTACTACTACTAGGGCCCTTTCCCTTTCCCTTTCATTCTTCTTTCC